CACGACATTTTCACATTGTCTCTGGAGGACACAGGTCGACGCCTGCGGTGAAGTGCAGGTCCCAGCTGCCCAGAGTTCATTTTTGCAGATCGCCGAACTCACAGTCTTGCGTCAAGGTCAGAAAATGTCTTGTGACAAAGCATTTTTCCTAGTCCATAAAACACCACGTATCTCTTGCAAACATCAAGCGTTCGAAGCAATCAGACATGACTGGGATGTGGGTGGATTTTTCATCCACACTCTCCTGTCTTGCTTACTGTTATCACTTCGTTTTGATCACTCGTACAGTATGAAACTCAAAAGATTGTCAAGGACCAGTCAGTCCAGTGCCCTGACCTTACAGAGGAAGAGCAGAGTCCACTCCCAGCCCCAGAGCTTCTGATGGGATAGGTCTGGGCCAGCCGGAGCAGTGGCACGTTTTCAATCCCACGTGGTGTTTCTCTACTGCACCTGGGCGGCCATCAGACACACTGAGCACAGCAGGTGAGAGTGGAAGAGGGGGGCCTGGAATTCTTGGGGGCACCCCTAACGTAGGCCACACATTGCAGTCACCCGGGAGGTTTTACAGATAGTGACATCTGAGTCCCACGCCCAGCGATTCCGATTTAATCAGTCTGCAACATGGCCTGTGGTTTTTGACGTTTAGGATCTTCTGGTGATTCTAAGTGTAGCCAAGTTTGAAAAGCACCGCTTCAAGCCCATCCTACTGAGCATGCTGGAGCCAGATCCGCTGTCGGAGGGAGACCCTGCCTGGCTGGGAGTGGGTGGCACGCGGGCCGGGGACAGGCTGGACTCGGCTCCTCAGTTTTCATAATGGAGCGTTAGCACCGTCTTCCCGCGAGTAGTTTTGAAAGCACATGACCCTAGACTTATCTGGCAACATAAAAGCTCTGCGTCAGGCCTCAAGTATTTCGCTTTCATTTCTGGTTTTGGATTAAGCTTTGAGCCATTCGTTCCAAGTGAAAAGTAAATAAAAATGGGATGTCTGGCGCCCATGCTGAGCTTGCGGCTTCAGATTCCAGGGAGAACACGTCTCATGGAGAAAAGGGTCTGTTTGATGCTTCGCAAGTGAATACGGATTTCGCTTATGTTGGCGGAAGAATCGTCCCCCACCCCTTCCTTGTCCC